TTATTTCCATCATGTTCTAATTTGTTTTCCCCAAGTGTGACTACAGTTATCTCTGACATGATATTGTTATCTCTGTGTTTAGTGCATCCCACATGCTATTCAGCATCTGATGTAAGCATTAGATATATGCAGTTCTCCTCACCTAATTCCAGAGCAGACAGAAATAAAAGGAAAATACAAAGTTTATCCAAGCATACTTCAAGCATTATTATGCAGAACACGTTGAATTTCTACTTAAAGGAGATGAAAGAACCACACCATGATACCAACCCAAACCTTCCCCATTTCTCCCTCAAGCTCTCACGTTTAAAAAAGACTCCTTTGTCTTAAATTTATGAATGAGGTTAGGGCTTACAAAAGTCAAGGATTAATAACACTTGCTTGAGCCAAAAACAGTATGATAGGCACTGTGCACACTCCCCTCCAATCCATCTCAAGGCCGAGCTGCAGTACCCCTGCTGCTTTTCCAATCCGAGGCCTCTCACAGGCAGAGGCTGCCAGTGGAGCTGAGTGGTGCCAAACTGTCTGGTGGTTTTGTGATAGAGCCAGATGGGGACTATGGTGAGATGAAGCTCATTTCCACCCATGAGCTGAGCAAAGATGGGGATTTAGGTGAAAAGATGGAGTAGTGGGCCTTTTAGTCTTTACCAGCCACATAAAGATAATGGAAATCAGAACAAATTGGGGCCATCCCCACACCAGACAACAAATTCTGCACAGAGACTTATGTCCCACAGAAAGGTTTGTTGAGTGAATGTCAGAAAGATCCATAAAATAGCCAAGTAGTATTTACAGTTGATTTTCTGACTTGCAGAAGGGAAGGACTGTCAGAATGGAATGCAAGACAATGCAAAGAATCTTTGGCCGAGATTTTTGCAGGGAATTATAGAAGGCAAGGTATACGTATTAAAACAAGCAGAGCCTAAATGGTTTTAAATTTACCACGTTAGCTCCTGCAATGCCAATTTAAACTATCACTTTCTATTAAAAAAAAAAAAAGAAGTTTAAATTGGGTGGTATTCAGTTCTGATTTAGAAACTCAATAGAAACCTAATGTTTAAGTCACAGTTGTAGCAGCTGAAACAGTATTTAAAGTTGTAGGCATCCTGACCCAAATAAAAAGGGAAAAAGGAAACCCTTTCCTTTAAAACTATTAGTGTAGACGTGGCTTTAGGGATTGCATCAGCTACTAGGGCTCCAATTTGAGCTTGGTTTTTTTTTAAAGATATATATTAACATTACAATGGAGAGAAAATAGAATTCTGTTGTGTTTAACAAATTTGATCTATGTGCAGAAGCACTAATCTTGACAGAAAGCTAGATACAGCTAAAACAAGTTCTCTACTCATTTTTAAGTATCCCAGTAGGCTATATTACTATATTACAGAAAAAAACCAAAACCAAACCTCCAAGAAATGTGTAAAACTTTAAATTTCTAAAGCAAAATTTACATATGTCAAGTAAATGCAGTTAATTTCCAAACATATTCCAAATTCAGGTGTCAGTACTCTCGCTACATCACATCAAGCCCTCAAATCCACATATTTTTTCATTTTTCTCTAAGCATAGTTTTTACTATATGTGGTTTACTTAGTATTTTTCCAAGTTTTCCTTTTTTAACTCTAAGTTTCACTATCCACATTCTGTTATTTTTTCTCAGGAAACAACCAAATATGAGACTCACTGCACTTTCCAGTGTGATGGGGGATAAGTGAGACAAAATGCTGCAAACACTGCCTGTCCAGGGGGCATCAGCTGATTGCTGTCTGTACAAACCTTGAATATCACAAAAATCATTGAAGAAAAGTAAATCTCTTTTAAAAAAAGAAGTGTGACTTTTTACAGAGACCTATAGAGTAGAGTATAAAACAGTTTTATAAAATGTAGCTCCATAACATTCCATTGCTTTTACCCATCTTTTGATCTTCTCTAGTGTTTGCTGAAATCAATGCTAGTGGAGCCAAAGAACATATTTCAGAATTCTTCCCGATTATATGCTGGACTGGTTTTCCAAAATAATTTTCAAATATATTGACTCTTGAATCAAAACATGTCTGAACCTCTGATGCTATACAAATTAAAAATATGCATGTTTCAGCACCTGGGATAAAATCTAAACAAAACATAAGTATAATTCAAATCCATTCTTCACAAAAAAATAAAAAAAAATTTCAATGTTGTGTTGAAAAATGTGAATTCCACTGCTTTTCAAAACTCTGTTGAACAGACATGAAGAATGCATAAGACCATATCTATGCATCTATCAGCAGAATAACTTCCATCAAAGGAAATTATTATATTAATTGTATAATTAATATATAAATATATTATGTTATGTTATATTATATTATTCAAAGAAAGGAGGTATTCCCAGCCTGCAGTTTATCCTGCCAAAGCCCCCAGCTTTGCAGTTATATCATCAAACCTGCCTCTACTGGCGTAACTACTTCTTTTTCAGAGAACATTTGATGTGCATGTGCAAAGCTATCCTGGAAAAGAGAGAAACTCAGAGCATGAAGTACATCCACATTAACAGTATTTTGCTAGAAGAGCACATTAGTCAATCCTAGGAGGGTATTGCCAAGCTTTAAGATTTTCTTTGATTTCATCATCAGCACAAGAACCTGCAGGCAAGTTTTGCACTGACAGTGCAGTGGCAGCTTAGAGACCCACAGAGGAGAACTCTCAGCAGCCTGACTTTCAGCCAGCACATTCCTCAGCCTCTACGTGGGCAAAGAACCTGGTTTCAGAATCTTCTCAGCAGATCTACACGCCCATAACCACCCAGCTATAGGTCTCACCAACAAGGATGCTGAACTCCTCCCCTGCTACCAGAAACATTTGGAATTCCTACCAAAACATATACGCATATAAATATACACATGCATAAAACCAACATATTATTTTCAAGTTTAATTACTTTAATGTCTGCCATTCAAGTTTGGAAATTCTAGGCCTTGCCTTTATTTTCTGTGAAAGAAAGGAAGGCAACTGCTACAAAACCATCTCAAAAAAGCATAGTGTGGTTTGTTCTTGAATACCAAAACAATATTAAATAGGTCTGTAAATGCTTCGTTATTTTGGTTTCATGCAATGACATGTATCATCACAAACTTCAGCATTGCTGCAAACAGTGCTTAGGAGCATCTGTTTTGTCCTACTGTGTCAGCTAGGGCTGTTTATCAGCAACAGACGGCTGTACACAAGAGTGCTTTGCTTGTTAAAGACAAACAGTGTGGGTATTTGATATTCTTTGAATATACAACTTTTCTGTTTTGCTAAAAGCAACTTCTGAATCAGCTCATGCATGACTCTACCTGCTCTAGAAAAGAACAAAAACAACCTCAACTTAAAGAAGGACAAAAGAGGGTGAAATAAAGTTTATTCACATATTTTAATAACAACACTATCTTCCCAACTGTTTACCAAAGTATGAAATTCAAAGTTGTGAGATAAAAACAAATTCCTTCATTTGAGGCAAGAGATCTTGCTGGTTAATCATTCATACATCATTTACATCTGTAGTTACCCAAAGAAACAAGAACAAATAAGAAAAGGACTGGACCTCAGAAGTGCAGTGGGATGGAAAAGCGAAGCAGTGGCCCAGCAGATGCTGTCTGAGTGCTCTGGCTATATATCACATAGGGAGAAAAATCATTTTCCAAGGGAGCAACTCCTCCTGCATTTCCCCAGTATCTGTTGTGCTGGTAGGGAAGCAGCTGAGCCCCTCAGCATGTGTGATGTGCTGCTGATAACTCTAGCATTACTTTTGCCTGTCATCAGAGAAGTAACAAGCACATTATTTACAGAAAATGGCATTCACTCCCTGCTAACCCAGAACACACTGCTTCAAAGGTTTCCACTCACGAGCTTGATTTTTCTGTAACACAGTGAGTACATTCACACTGCAATCTCTCAGTTGCTTTTCCTGCCTAAGTAGACCATAAAAAAATACATGGTCAAAGAAAAGGGTTTTTTTTAATGTATTAGTGAATGCCAGACAAAATCTGCTATTATACTTGTTTATACCCTTCGAGAATTTTTTTCTGACTTTGAAACTTCTGTACCTCAAAAGTCTGTGTCACAATTTCCTTTTCTGTTCAGCATTCATCTGAATGCACAAATTCAGAAAGAAACTCAACTCCATTACATTTCAAGGAAACATTTTCCTAACTTACAGCCACAGACACCTTAAAAATATTGTATTAAGAAAAGTTAAACACCTCTAAAATTTAGTATTATATATTTAATATATGTTACATGCATAATATATGTTATTAATTATATATTCTATACGAAATACTATCTTTGGATAACTAAGAATGGGGGTAGGTGCCCAACTTTTAGCCTCTAGGTTTGACTGCATAAACTTTAAATTCCTACAGGAAAAAGTTTTTATCTATATTTCCATCTACCACTGAACACATAGTGTCATTTAATAACAAGGCTTGAGCTTACAGCAAATGTTGAATTCAATTATTTTTTAAATAGTTGGGCTAGGATTCAAACAAGAAGTAATGTGGATTTTTAAATTCCCAGTCCTTTCTCCAGGAGCTGAGGATCTTGGATATCCTACTTGCCAAAAAGACCGACCACCTTCAGTACTGAAACCTGGCATTAAATACAACACAATATTTAATAATTAATGTATGGGAGTTATTATGGGTAGGATTGTGATCTGGATCATGACTCTCTAATGCCCCTACAACACACATTGCAGGATCATCTTCTACTTATATGAAGGAAATGGAAAGTGACTATGAGGACAATACCCAAATTTCAGCTAGAGCCTGTGACTTCTGGAAACCATTTAGTCTTAACCACTTAAAATCACAGTTACTGGACAACAATGCATAGTTGAGCTTTAGTTTTGCCAAACAATATACACACGAGAAAGAAGAAAGAATTGTTAAGACAATCTGTACCAATATACAGAACTGTATTTTATAGCACTGGAACAGAGGAACTTAATCCTACAGTTACAATACATTAAATGGTACCTGGCAGGAGCCGTTGGGTAAATTACTTTTATATGTTGAAATGCCATGTCTTGATTCAAAATTTGTTTTATCCATGCTCTTGCTCCTTGGCCAGTATCACCTGTATCACACAGAAGAGTACAAGAATTATTCTGTGCATTTAGCAAAAAAATTATACAATTTCAAATATACTTCAGATTGACTTAATTTGAAATTATGAAGTTAATACACTAAAATGCTAAAAAATAACTTTCTAGAACAACTTCAGTCCCCTTTCCAATGGACTCAAAACTTCCTAGAAAAAGACCGTTTAAGAGATCCCACAACATAAGTTTAATCAATATTTTACTACATTCTAAGCAGACACAAGGCCTTATATCTTACTTACAGTTCACAGTTCATATTTGCTCTTAAGTGATAAACAAAAGCTTTGATGAATATCTTAAAAAGTGAGGTAAAATAACTGTTACTCCCCTTAGAAAAGTTAATTACTTTTACTTAAGAATTTTATGTTAATCCACTTCAGAACCCAGTTAAGAACAGTTCTCATTTAATTATGCTAACATTGCACATAGGCTTTAAGGGAAAAAGACAATTTATAAAGAGATAGATTAATTTAAAATGTCTAGCAGACTCTTAAGAAACTTTAATCACACAGTTCTGTTTGAAAACTACTTGAGATGAACTCACAATCTGTTTTTTTTTCCCGGTCTTACCAATGCAGCCTATGGCCAAAACCCCTGCAGACTGAAGTGCTACGAATGGGAATTCTTCTGTAAATAGCATTTTCTCCTTTTAAACTAATCTACATATATATATGTATGTATATATATATATATTTTATATATATATATATGTATGTGTATATATATATATATTTATATATATATATATATATGCACACACATATATATAGACAGAGTCTCCAGCTTGTCTTTGCACCGGTATTTTCAACTATAACTTCACTGCCACCCCTCTGAAGAGAAGGCATACACAAGTCCTCAGTGTAATACTGTGTAATACAACACTTCAAACTTAAGGGAACCGGTCCATCAAGGAATATAGTTTACAATAGGACAGATGTTTAACCTAAAAAAATTGAGCAGGCGCTCCGCAAACTGGAATTTCACTATTGCCACTTTTGCCATAGGACTTCAGTCTTGCTTGAAGCTGAGGTTCCCACATATTATCAACTTAAATTGCTAATATTCTCTATTATTTTACCTCAAATTGTTTGGTTTGATGTTAGAACTTACCTCATCATTTTCAATACAATGGCCAAGCCAAAAGTAAAAAATATCTCTGCCCCTAGCCAGGCTTACTGGCACATTACATGGGTTCATTTGAACATGAATATAACAATTCATTGTTAAAACTATTATAATTCCCCAATGGAGAAAATCTGCTCCTAAGCACTCTAACAAAAATCAGCTGTTTTTATTAACAAATATAATTAATGTATCTTCAAAATTAAAACAGAAGGCAAGAAGGATTCAAACCCAGCCATTTTTTTCCTCTTAAGCACAATTAGCATAACTAGAACTAACTGTTCTCTGACCTAAACATTCCATGTGACAAATAAAAAACAGGGTTGCAAAACTGACACAAATCTTATCCTGTGCTAAGCTAAACATTAAAATCAAAGTTACCGCCTTAACTGGATGCCTCAGAACACACCCTCAGAAGCACTTTTCTTATGCAAGTACTGGGGTCTGAAGTCCAAACACACCTCTGATGTTTCACAGACACTCTTGACATACAAGGTTTTCCTGAAGGTTGTTGTCACCTCACTTATAAACAATGTATCCTAGGGAGGCTTGAACTATAATTTTTTTTCCCTATACACTGCTTTTTTTTAACTTAGAAAGCCAGGGTGAGGCCTTGCAAATACCTGCACAGAATGAACCCTCAAGTCAACCAACTATTTGAATGATTACAGAATTGAGACCTAGGCCTTTACAAATTCCTTAATGACGTAGGACAAATCACTATTCTATTATTTATTCCCACCTCTTAAGCTTCACAAAGATCTGCAGAAACATTTACTGTTATTGAAGAGAGTTTGTCCATTAAAAGGTCACAGAAAGTTCCGTAAGAGAAAATTTAACTATGACCTTCTGTATGTCAAAAACTGTCATGGTCCAAATGCTACTCAAACATGTGAGCACTTGTATGCTCAGATAATGTATTTTGACTGCTAGGAACAGAACTTGGAGGAGAGGGAGGAAAAAGAGGAAACCGTGACATCAAACAAAAGCCAACAAACCTCCTGAAATGCAAGTCTTTCAGGCTCTTTTGAAATTTTAGCATTATATGTTCTGAACACTACAAAAAGAAGCAAATGATGAGTGATTCTGCTTTGAGTCAGTTTACAAACTGAAAAAGACTGATGGAAGCTATATTATCTTCTCCCTCCTCAAGTAAAATATTACTTTCTTTACTTTCAAATATACCTTGTATTTCCAAGTTTTCTTTCTGTGTAAAGTTTAAATTTAACAACATGTAACATGTAGACTCGACATTAGGAAAAATTTATTCACCAAAAGGGCTTTCAGGCACTGGAAGAGGCTGCCCAGGAAAGTCACTGAGTCACCATCCCTGGAGGTATTTAAATGATGTGTAGATGTGGCACTTAAGGACATGGTTTAGTGGCAGACTTGGCAGCATTTGGTTAATGGTTGGACTCGATGTTCTAAAAGGTCTTTTCCAGCCCATGATTCTGTGATTGTTACGACACGGCAAAGTTGTAATCCTCAGCCTAAAAAGTTATTACATACTTGCTATGTCCATTTGCCTTCCTGCCAAGCTACCAAATGGAACCTCTACCTGAATCTGATACCAAGATTGCTCTAATATTTTTCTATACCATTTTGCATTGACATGCTGCACTTGTTATAGTTTGTCTAGAGAAAGCATTGTGAACAAAATGGATTCATGCCATTTGACTGCCACTTTCCATCACAAGTGCTGTACAAAGGTTTACAACTCAGGTTTACAGGCCAGCCCACAGCAAGAGCACTGTGGCAACTTCTGTTCTAGATTCTATTCTGCGTAACTGCTAGAAACCAAATAAAACCACCCCATTACAAACATTATGAATAAAGTCATATTAAGAAAAAAAAAAAGAGAGAAAAATTGTAGAGTACTTTAACCACATGTGGAATCAACCTCTAACCATAATCTCCCCTTACTCCTCCAACATTAGAGAAAACTATTTCCTTAAGCATTAAAGCATTAGCATTAACAAGAAACGAACACATAAACTCTTTCACTTTCATTCTTTTACTCACAGAATTTTTAAAAGACAAAATTATAAAAATGAAACTAATTTAGTAAGGACATACATCTTTGTTAAATTATACAGAAGCACCAGCTAAAAGCAAAAGTAAGCAAAATACAGGGAAAGTGTTGAGCATGTTGCCATATGCACATGGGTAGCTCAGTAGTATTGATTCTCAAGGCCTTGTTCTAGTAAAGACCTAAAATTACTGATTTTTTTTTTTCAATGTCATGTGGACCTCGTTGCTGTTATTTAGCTCATTAGAAACAGCTTTTAAGGAATTAAACTAAACAAAACACACGCTCCCCTCCTGCCCTCAGACCTGTCACTGATGTACGTAACTCCCCTCTGCTAGAGGGTGGCCATGAAGCCAGTCTGGACATGGACAGGGCCCTTCTGAACAACCAGAAGTCGGTAAATGAACGCGGGTTTTAAAAGGGTGCCAAGAGTACTCTCATGCCGATTCTGAAACAGCAAGAGCCACTTTAACTGTGAAAGTCATGCTCTGAACGTGGCGACCCTCCGAGAGAGGCAATTTAGGGAGTAACAGGGCTCGGGGAAACGGGATGAAGCATAAGACCGGTTATCTGGAAAAGGTTTTTCACCCAGAGGGAGGCTGGGCACTGGAACAGGCTTCCCAGGGAAGTGGTCACAGCACCAGGCAGCCTGACAGAGTCCGAGAAGCCTTGGGACAGTGCTCTCAGGCACACGGTGTGACTCTCGGGGTGTCCTGTGCAGGGCCAGGAGCGACGATCCTGATGCGCCCCTTCCGACGGAGCATGTTCTGTGATCTCCTGGAACTCGTGTGTTCCCAGGGAAGCCGCTCCGGTGTGAGCCGGCGCCGTCCCTGTGGGACCCTCGCAGGAAACCCGCACACGGCTTTGCCGCCCACCGCCTCCACCTTCCGGGCCCGAGGAGGGCAGAGCCGAGGGGACAGGGTCACTGCAAAGCGCCTCCCCAGCCCTGGCGGCCACGCCGTCCCGCCGCCCCCCTCCCGCAGCACCGGAGGGGCCGATCCTGCCCGCTTCACCCGCTCCCCGGAGCGCCCCGTCCCCAGGGGCTGCGGGGAGAGAAGGGAGGGAAAGCAGGCACCTGAGCCGTGCAGGAAGATGAGGGAGGCGGAGTGCCTGCCCGCGGGGGACACCACGCTCCGCTGCAGCGCTGCGGGCGCCGCCATGGCCAGCGCTCTCCTCCCACTCCGGTCCGGCCCTGCCGGTTCCGGGCCTGCAGCCGCCCTGTCTCCGCCCCCCGCGCCGCTCCTGAGGCAGCCCCGGCTCTCCTGGCACCGGGCTAGGAAAGTTCTCCCTTTGGACGCTGTGCTCGGTTCTCAGAGGTTGTTTACAGGCACTGCGGACTCCCTGCAGACGCTGCATTTAGCAGTGCGCTGTGACAGGGACCGGTCCGCCTCTGTGGTGTCGCACGTGAGAGAGAAAACCCCGCGGGCGTGTGCCCCAGTGGACTCAATCCCTTTATTCGAGTAAAGTTGCAGGACTCCTCTGTCTCCTTTCTGGACATAAACCTCTGGTGTTTGTGGATTTTCCTGACACACGTGTGCGGGGAGGTGTGGAGCTGAGGCTCACCAGGAGCAGCCCTTCAGTGGCAAGGCCTGGCTGCAGGAGAGCCCAGGGGAGGCGAATGGCGCTGGTGGCTCCTTCCAGGCGCTTCAGAGCGTGAAGGACCCGCAAGGAGCACCATGAAAAAGGTCCCGCAGACATCTCAGAATTGGTCCGACCTTAATCGATGTCTAAGAACAGCTATCCTGATGCTCTTGCTAGACTCTACCGAACTGCCATAAAATGGTGTAAGGAGTAGGAGCTTACTTTTGCACTTTGAGGTAACCCATACACGTTCAAGGTCATATTTATTTTATTTTATTTATTTTTCCCCGCTAGTGCTGTGCAGATTAGCCATCTGCTTCAGCGCTTTGAGGTCGGCGACAGTGGGACGAGGATGGCCGCCCATAAAGTGCAGTGTCGCCTTTTGCCTGGCCAGGTGCAGCGCGACCCGGGGTGAGCGGCGAGTGCACGGATTAGTTTTGCAGTTCATCACAGCGCGTTTTGGCATGGCACAGGGGCGCACCTGCTAGTTCTTAAAGATGTAATGAAACCCTAGCCTCTTGAGGTAGCACGTTATTACCTTCAGAATGGCCCGTGGGTTAAGTAGATGAAACATCAGTGTGTGTGTAGTATGAGGAGCACGCTGTGCTTGTATTTCTGTTCAAATTACTGTCCTGACTACTCTATTCCTGTTTATTTAGGCCATGAAATCTTAGGGCCCTGGTTAAATGTAGACTAACGAACAGCATGTTATTTTGCCCCTCTAGAATGTATGCAGCTGTATTTTTAATATATCTGAAAGTGTTCTGCAGTGAGGCCAAGAAGTAAAGAGAAGGGGAAAAAATCCGATAGCTGGGGAAATGAATAAATTGCATGGTGGGAAGGGATGAAAGGTGCATATAGAATTTTCTGTGGTGTCAGTTGTGCAGTTGAGGAATACAAAATCTCAGCAATGTAGTGCCAAAATGAGTAAGTCAGTATTGATGGAGTTTAGTAGCTAAGCCACACCTTTCTTTTCCTTTGACTTTCAGTACACAAAAACAGTTGTGGCATTTGAGCCATCAAGGCTCATTTATTTTATTAGCTTGGAAGGAAAATTTAGTTGTTATTATTATAAGACAGAGTCACTCAATTATGCTTATTTGCAATATTTTAATTTGTCTTACCATCTTTCATGAGCAATGTCATTTTTTGAGGATTATTACATGGGAAGTTACTAAACAAAGGTACATCACTGATGTGTGGCTTTGGGCACACGCTTCTTTACAGTTATGGCAACAAACCATGATCAAGATTTTTTAAAGCTTATAAATTGTCATTCCCTGCCTCTGAGTTACAAGCTTGGAGGTACAGGATTTCACTGTGCCAACAAATAAAGCTGGATGCCAGGAACAAAACAAAGAATAAAATATCACACCATGTAAAAATAGTACTCAAGGTTTGAAGGATTTTGTCTGTTGTTTTTTTTTTGTTTTGCTTTTCTGGGTTTTTTTAAAGAGAAGCAGTCCAGGCATAAGATTTATCCTTTTTTCTGTGAAAAAACAAAGAAAAAGCTAACTTTATCTTTCCCTGAATAGAGGGTACTACAGGGCTGGCTTCGGGGGAAAGACTAATAGTTTTTAAAAAACAGTCATCTACATAGAAACTTGTGAGAGAGTAGGAGCTCTGAACAAACGTAAATCGAAAAGTGGTGTGTTACAATTCGAATGACAACAAATATACTCTAATAACTGGTTATTTATACCTGAAGAAAATGTTTTCTTGGGTTGCTTTTGAAGTGTATTAATTATATTGAATATTAAAGATATTAAATGACACTTAATGATTTTTTAATTATTAACATTTAATTAGTAATGATTTATGACATTTAATTATTAAAAAAAAAAAACCAACCCCACAGCAAAAGCCCTTCAATGGGTCTGAATCAAGTTCTCAGACTTGGCCAGTAGATGATTCTATTGTTTCTGAGACTCTTCTGTTGTTAGAGGAATAAGAGTCCCCTTCCCTGCCAGTTTTGCCTTCTACCTAAAGGCAGGGAAGGAGGAAACATGCCTGGAGTGAGAACTAGAAAAAGGTTATAACTCTTTTCCTGGTCCAAAGCTGTAAAGCCAATGAAGGAGAGAGATTTCAATGAAGCCATAGAAATCATGGCTCCTAAGACCTAGCCTTACTAGCTGGAAGGACTCTCCTGAATGAATTAATACTATGTTAATAACTGTAGAAGATTATAGGCAATATGGAAAATACCTTGCAAATTTTGTTAAACTAACATATGCTTAACTTGTAATGCTTATGATGTTTTACAAGTGTTTCAGTGGTAACATGTAACATCTCCAGAAGGAATTTATTACATTTCACAGCATTAATAAAATGTGATCCCACACCCTTAAAAACATATTCTGTTGCAATTGCTTCTCTTATTATATTTTTTTTTTCCTGGCCTTAATGAAATAAACAGATTACATTGTGACTTAAATGTGGAATAAATATGGAAATGTAAATATGTGGCCATATTTAAGTTTTTCAAAGAAAATAATTTTGTTGTTTTGTTCCTTAGGATAGGCCCTTGCTCTAAGTACTCACCGATTGGGTTCTGTTCTCTCGCACTGACTCTGCTCAGGAAAAAACAGAAGACTTTAATTTACTTGAAATCATTTTGATACTTTTTCTCATTTAAAATGGCTTTGCACTTTAAAATTGACTTTAGCTGAAGGCAGTATGTTGCAGAGTAATTTTTATGTTCAGCATGTGTACATCTATAACATCCAGAAACACTGCTACAGCTGTATATGCAGAGCTAAAGCTCCTGCCCTTGATATTGAAAATAGTTTTCAGGTATTGTACAGTTACTGTTGGGTTTCTTTTAGAAGGTGAGTTAATCCATAGATGCTTCTCTGGTGGTTACAATAAATTATATCTGATTTTTAATTGATTGTATTATAATATATGATGGATAGTAATATAATCATAAGTATTATATACAATTATTATATATCTAGGTGATTTTACAGAAGCAGAGATTTTGCTATGGAAATAAAAATATCAAGTGTTTGAAACTTTTCACATCCCCCCTTTATTTCTTTCTCAGTAGTGTGGCATTATCATCATCACCATATCTGAAGATGACATAATTGAGTGAAGCTGTCCTACACTTGTTTTCTTCATTATTGAGTGTTCAAATTAAATGCGGAATTTGACTTTTTGTATATTTCTTCCCTCTCCTACCCTTCTGCCAGGGCTCAAGGTTCTGTCCCCTATTTTTTAGACCTTCATGCCAGTTACTGTGGTCTGATCAAAACAAAAAACTGTCCTCTAATTTGCAGGTGGTTTCATTTATTTGAACTCAGTGGCAGTGCTTTGACATAGAATTTATATTTTTATCTTTCTTCTTTCAGTGTTCATCTTGGCATAGTTTACTCTGAAAAGTTCTTGTCAAGAACTCTTTGCACAACTGCTACAGTAGAGGTAGGAAGTGCCACAGAAATTACTATTCAGGTGCACAACCTAGTGGTCCATTTATCATGCAAAACTAATCATACTCAAACCAAGCCAAACAAAAAATGTATTTCCATTCATACTTTTTAGTTGAACAGTTGAGTCTTTAGCAAATTATCAACTTTCAAAATACATAAATTTTGAAAAGTTGATTTCTGTCCAGTCAGAAGTATATTTTGGGTCTGCATTCTCCTGTTCCTTAGTAGGAAAAAAAAAAAAATAATCCCTGGCTGGGCTACATCAATAATAATGTGCATCATAGGTAGGATTTAGTGTGGAGTTGGGTAAGGGATGTCAGTCCACAAGAGAAAAGCACCTATGAATACTGCCTGGCAACGTGGGATCTTGACACAATGTTTCTAGTTACCAGAACAAGGTAAACAAGTAATAAATAAACAGATCATGTTCTTCCTGGCCCAAAAAACAATTAGTATTTAGGGTCTTATGAGATAATTTTGCTAGCAGGAGACAGATATTTACTGCATGCCATCCAGTTTGTTTAAACACAAACAAGGGCTCCGTCCCAGGGACAACAGGAGTTAGTTCCCTTCTTCAGGAATCTGATCCTGCACCTAGCCAACAAGCTGCCAAAACAAACCCAGGCTTGGCTATGTTTGTGGTGCCTGTGTGTTTCTTCTGCTTGTTCTTTGCAGCAGGTTTGCTGTTTCTGAATCATTTAAACATCCACTCAGCTGCTGCATCTGCAGTCACCTTCCAGGCAAGCTCCTTGGCCCATCTTGTTTAGCTCAGAGCCTGCTGGAGCCTGGAGGGATGTTCCTTGAGCAGACCTCCCCAAAGAATTTCACAGACATGCTCAGGGCTTACCAAAATCATATTAATAGTATTCTTAGCAAATAGTGAAGATACTTTCTATTAATATGTCAACTAGTGGTGTCTGCCTTTTATTTAAAATGTTGTTGTGACTGGTTTTACATGGGTTTGAAAGTTGCTAGTAGAGCTGGTTTATGTATTAGACAGTATTTCAAATACTTTCCTCCTGGGCAGTGGACTCACCTGAGTGTGGGAAATCTTCTGCAGAAGATTAAAGTGTTGTGGAAGGGTTTGGCTCCATGGGGAATGAAAGATCCTTCATCAATTTAATCTGTTTATGTGGCAAGTTGGTTACACCTCATAATTTTGTTGTATTTTGGT